TGCATACGGCGTATAATGTATATAACTAACTCTCGGCCGGGATCACTATTTAGTTTACAGATCTCTCATTATTACGGCCATTCTCGTGTATTACAGGAAATTTGAAGTAAACCAAATGTCCCGCAGTTTGCCCCCAGTAATTATTGGGAAGGTCCAGTCAGATGGATAAATCTTGGTCTGGATTCTGGATGTTTTGACAGTAATTAGACTGCATTTCTTGCATGTGATGCAATTAGAGCAGCACCCCGTGGAGTTTAACACACATTCTCAAATCCAGGACTTGGTGGAAATAACTGTCCAGGGTCTGATTCACTAAACAGCAAATTTTTTGTAAATTTTTAAGAGAAATGTGGTAAAAAACCAGAAAGCTGAGTATTGACTATTTGTACTTAAATTCACTGCAGACTGACCAACATTCACTGTTTAGTGCGTCGTCCCCCCCATCTTGGTTAATAGGTCTGTCAGGGAGACACAGAAATGCTGAGTTGGAGAGATTTTCTCGTTCACTTATTTGTGCTAAGATTTCTAATCCCTCTCCCCAATTCCCGGAAACTAAACCGCTAAAGTCTCCCAAGGGGAATCATCAAAATCTCAAAAAGAAAAAAAACGAAGAAAAAAATATTATTTTGCCATCTATTCCCTGTATTTTTAGAATCAGTTTTACTGGATCAATAGCTGAGATGTTACTGTTTTTAAGGTAATCTGCAAAATTGCAACATTTCACAGAAAAATGTGTTTAAATTTACGACATGATTGCAGGGCCGCACAGCAGGCGTTCAAACCAGGTCTGGAAATAACTGTGGTCACCCCCACCCCCAACCGAGTGACTGGGGGGCAACTTTTATTAGCTAGCGACCCATTCTACTGCTTTTACAAACACGCACAAAATGGTGCACTCTGGGAATTTCATGATATTTGAGCCGATGCAACGTTTAGCAGATAGTCCACGCTACGCAAAATGGCACTCCGGGGCCTTCTTGGTAAAGAACACAATTTGCTATTTATTTAGGCAACGGTTCAGTTTGAGGACGCAAGCTTTCTTCAGCAAATCCCGAGAGCGGCGTTTCTATGTAATATATGATAGATTGGAGATTAGGTTAGTCTTATAAGTCCTGTAGCCAACATGCCAAAATAACCCGGGTAGCGCAGTATGCAGTGATACCCTTTTGGACGAACATGCGGGTTATTCAGTAAAGTGAGAAAGCTAAGTGAATTTCAAATTCTAGGTTCTAATAAGCGATCTGGAGAAACTCTCCAAAGCTTCTGTTTTAAATTCCATGTTAGAATAATAAAAATGAGGATTATATATTTCCTACATGTTAAATTTTGTATATATTGTGTATTAATATTGTTTTTGTAATAATGTATCCTATTGTAACAATGCAATGTTTTGTGGACACAGGACATACTTGGAAACGAGAGAAATCTTAATGTTTCTTTCCTGGTAAAATATTTTATAAATAAATAATAATTTTATTTAGGCATCTAATAATGCTAATTTAAAATACACGCATGCACACTTTTTTTTTTTTTTTTTTGCTATGATACTCACTAACAATAATTTAGAACCTTATAACACACAGCCACTCACAGTCACATCCCAAAATACATAAAGCACAATAAACAGACTCCAATCACAGTGGCAAAACAAAACAGAAAAATCGACACAAAGCTCTATTAAAATATATTGCTTCTCTTACAGCCACATAGTCAAAGTACAGGCTGCCGGCTCACAGCTGTACTGTAATATACACTTCCGGCTCGCAGCTGTACTGTAATATACACTACCGGCTTGCAGCTGTACTGTAATATACACTACCGGCTCGCAGCTGGACTGTAATATAAACTACCGTCTCACAGCTGTAATGTAATATACAGTGCCGTCTCACAGCTGTGCTATAATATACAGTGCCGGCTCACAGCTGTACTGTAATATACAGCGCCGGCTCACAGCTGTGCTATAATGTACCCTGCCGGCTCACAGCTGTACTATATTATACATTGCTGGCTCACAGCTGTGCTATAATGTACACTGCCCGCTCACAGCTGTGCTATAATGTACACTGCTCGTTCACAGCTGTACTGTAATATACAGCGCCGGCTCACAGCTGTGCTATAATATACCCTGCCGGCTCACAGCTGTACTATAATATACATTGCTGGCTCACAGCTGTGCTATAATGTACACTGCCCGCTCACAGCTGTGCTATAATGTACACTGCTCGTTCACAGCTGTACTGTAATATACAGTGCCGGCTTACAGCTGTGCTATAATATACACTGCCGGCTCACAGCTGGACTGTAATATACACTGCTCGCTCACAGCTGTGCTATAATACACACTGCCGGCTCACAGCTGTGCTATAATATACACTGCTGGCTCACAGGTGGACTGTATTATACACTGCCGGCTCACAGCTGTGCTATAATATACACTGCCTGCTTACAGCTGGACTGTAATATACACTTCCTGCTTCCAGCTGTACTGTAATATACACTGCCGGCTCACAGCTGTGCTATAATATACACTGCTCGCTCACAGCTGTGCTATAATATACACTGCTGGCTCACAGCTGTGCTAGAATATACACTGCCGGCTCACAGCTGGACTGTAATATACACTGCTCGCTCACAGCTGTGATATAATATACACTGCCGGCTCACAGCTGTGCTATAATATACCCTGCCAGCTCACAGCTGGACTGTAATATACACTGCTCGCTCACAGCTGTGCTATAATATACATTGCCGGCTCACAGCTGTGCTATAAGATGCACTGCCCACTTACAGACAGATAGTAACATGCACCGTACCTGCTCACTGTGCCATTAACTCCATAACTGGTGCTGGAATCAGGGCCCAGTGTTAGGTATTCCTCTGCATTATTAGGTTTAGATATATTATTAAAACAATCTAAAGCATTTAAAGCATTGCTTCCCGACAGACAGTTTTAATGCTGCAAAGTATGTCATTACTCTGTAAATAATAACAAGTATTAATATACAGGTCACTCGTCTGTAAATGATAATATTTATTAATATACAGAACAGGTCACTCTGTCAATAATATTCTTTAATATAAAGAACTGGTCACTCTAAATGATAATATTTATTAATATACAGAACAGGTCACTCTAAATGAGATATAGCAGGAGTAAATAACGCTTAGTTATCTGCTGCCCTCTAGTGACCATTTACACCTAGGACACTAAATATGGATTTAAACATAAGTCATTAGCATATTCTATTTATTCCACGGTCTTACACATAAAATATCAATTTAAAAATAAGAAAACTTTCATCATTCCCATCAAACGTAGAAATCACAGAAAAATGATGGTTTTCACACACGTTCCATTGTCAGCAACTGTAATGGAAGCTGTGTGAATGATGTATGAATATTGCTTCAATTTTCAGCAAAAAAAAAAAAAAAAAGGCATATAAACCTCTTCTTAAAGTAGAAATGTCACTTACTGGGTGAGTACTGCTCCGGTTAAGTATAAAACATACTTATCTCCACAGCACGTCTCCGTTCCGGCAGCCACCATCACCTTATGGCAGCCCAGAACTGAAGAGAAACCCTACATTTTACCTGCCGTAAATGTCTTTTATCATAGTTTAAGCAGCAGACATAACAAAATGCTAGCATTGAAAAGGTTAAAAAACAAAATGCAGCCCCCAGTCGCCTCCCCTCCCAGCATTATAAAGGCCAACTCCACCCTGAGCTCCCCTGTATATAAAAAGGTAATAGAAGGATAAAGGGGAATTCATTTTGTCCAAGGAAAACCCCAAACCTCTATACAATAAGCTTATTTGGGTAAGTCCCTCTTCACCTGTCGTTCCTGTTTGTCACAACTGTTTGTCAGGATTGTTTACTACATAGTTACATAGCTGAAAAGAGACTTGCGTCCATCAAGTTCAGCCTTCCTCACATTTGTATTTTGCTGTTGATCCAAAAGAAGGCAAAAAAAAAAAAAACAGTTTGAAGCACTTCCAATTTTGCAACAAACTAGGAAAGCTATATATGTTTCCATTCATATACATCTTTTATCCAGTGAAGTAATTAGAAGTAGATACAATGCCATGGCGTACGAACAAGTGCACTTTTTTTTTTTTACTAAACAAGCTAAGCAATATGTCTAAGAAAATTCATAGCTTGATAATGCTGTTGTGGCGTTACAAGCCTATCTTTTCTGCACAGTAATTAAAGAATAAAAAAATAAAAAAAAAAATGTAAAAAAGGTTGGCACTCGGCGCAGAGATCGCTTTGCGCGTAGCACTCTGCGATCCGTAAGTGGAATGCAACAACACCCCAGTGTGTTTTCCACATACGGAACCTCCCAGCTGCGCGTACAGACGCACCTTCGCCTCTTCCATCACAGATTTGGTGGATGTGATAAAGGAATAAAAAAAACCAGTGTGCTCCATAGCCTATAATAAGGCCAAGAAATCCATCACAAAAGCCAGACAGAGCACTCCAGGAGCCGCAGCCCCCTCAAACAGCCGTGAGTAGCTTCACCTATTCTGCCAAGCGTAGGCAGAGAACCCTGCAACCTGACCTGTCTTAAGGACAAGCAAATTCCGTGGAGCTCTGTTTTTTAGCCTTCTAGCTACCTGTCCTGTTGCAACTACACCTACATCCCATTTGTTATGACTGCCGCTTGGACATCTGGAAAAAGCTGTACAAATGCATGCATGCTTACATTGTGTCCACAAATATAGCCTGCAGGGCATGAATTCATTTCCATAGTATACCAGAGCTGTGCCAGAATAGACAGTGTTAATTCCAACAATTATACCAGTTCAAAGTGACCTTCTAGCTATAGCAATGTGACAGTTCTACTGGCGCAATCACTCTCATTACGTATAGAAGATGGAAAAAATACCTCCGACAAATATAATATACATTTATTCTAAAATAGAAATACAAAAGTTTAATTCAATCCAAAATAATTTAGAAAACTGTAAAAAGGATTTCAGAAATGAAGAGTATATTGAAAGGAATTAAACGCACAAAATATAGATTTGATTCCATTAAAAAGGAAAAGTTTGCATTGTACTGGGACACTTTAGCTCATGGTTCCTGGCTGCAATGGTTTCAGATCTCTGTACAAAATATTTACATGTTTATTACAAAACCAAAACTGCTAAGAGAGTATAAAAGGTGTTTTCTCACAAAATCCCTAAATCTGGAATAAACTATTAACTCACAAAAAAATCCTGCATCTCTTCTTAAAAAATGTCAATACTGAAACAGAATGAATGCTGTGAGCTAGAAACTGGTTACGGAGCAAATATATCCGAGATGGAATGAGGAATCAGTTTTTTTTCAGCTTGGACGTTCTGGGCACAAATTGGTTGACCATTTTCTGATTCAGTCAATAAGGGATTATAAACAAGGCTTTTTAAGGTTAATTTGGTGTACTATACTGCAGTGAGGTGTAGCCATCATTGACAGTTATTACTGTGTCTCCATTACGCTAACATTCCACACCATAGCGTTCAAAGTTGCGCAATATGACAGTGAGCTCTAGGTGGACCTGCCCCATGGCTTCTGTCTGCAAGCGATATCGATCTGCTCCCCCATAAATCAGGCTGGAAGATTTCAGCTGAGGGCCACCCCCCACAAAGATCTGGGAGAGGTGTTCCTGCCATGTTCCTAGCGGGCGCCATGTTGGGCTGGTCAGGGAATGCGTGCCTGGGGTGGACGGAATGTGCAGGAAGCTGTAACTGTATAATTCATTACGGCCAAATGAGTCCTGGTGCCAAACTTGGAGGTGTAGCTTTGGCCAACCTGTGGAGAAAATGGAAAACCAATTAAACAAAGACGATGATTCGGAATACAACAATAAAATAAGGAGTTTACCCCTCCTACTGCAGGGTGACACAGACAGAAGGAGCTATGGGACACAGAGTTTACCCCTCCCACTGCAGGGTGACACAGACAGAAGGAGCTATGGGACACGGAGTCTGTTCCTACCACTGCAGGATGACACAGACAGAAGGAGCTATGGGATACAGAGCCTGTCACTCCCACTGCAAGGTGACACAGACAGTAGGAGCTATGGCACACGGAGTCTGTTCCTACCACTGCAGGATGACACAGACAGAAGGAGCTATTGGACACAGAACCGGTCACTCCCACTGCAGTGTGAACCAGACAGAAGGGAGCTATGGGACACAGAGTCTGTCCCTCCCACTGTAGGGCGACACAGACAGGAGCTATATGACACAGAGTCTGTCCCTCCCACTGCAGGGTGACACAGACAGAAGGCGCTATGGGATACACAGTCTGTCCCTCCCACTGTAGGGCGACACAGACAGAAGGAGTTATATGACACAGAGTCTGATCCTCCCAACGCAGGGTGACACAGACAGAAGGAGCTATGGGATACACAGTCTGTCCCTCCCACTGCAGGGTGACACAGACAGAAGGCTATGGGATACAGAGTCTGTCCCTCCCACTGCAGGGTGACACAGACAGAAGGAGCTATGGGACACACAGTCTGTCCCTTCCACTGCAGGGTGACACTATAGGAAATGCATTCCATCTCTCCCAAGTATGTTTAAGTGTAGGGTTACATCGACAGAAAGTGACTGTTTTACAGGGCTGAAAACCAGATAAGAGAGAGTGACCAATCATGTAGTTTTAACATGAACTATTAGCGCTGCCTAGGGAGTTTCCATAGCAACCGCGACGCAACCTCTTTTTTGCTTTCCCTTGTCAGTCAATGCCTCGGCACGCCATGACATTGACTGACAGCTGGGAGAAAAAAAATATTTTTAAATAATCTATACGTTTGCTAGCAAAACTGAGCATAAGATTTAATATTTTATCTATACATTATGCAAGCAATGTAATGAGCATGAGTTGTTTGGGGTATGACAGGTGCCCTTTAAAATGACACTATAGTCACCAGAACCACTACAGCTTATTGAATTTGTTCTGGTGAGTAGAATCATTCCCTTCAGGCCTTTTACTGTAAACACAGTCTTTTCAGAGAAAATGCAGTGTTTACATTACAGCCTAGTGATAACTTCACTGGCCACTCCTTAGATTTCTGAGATCCTTCCCGAGTCATGGCTGCCTAAAATGCATCCAAACATTCAGTATCTCCTCCCTCTGCATGCAGACACTGAACTTTCCTCATAGAGATGCATTGATTCAATTCATCTCTATGAGGAGATGCTGATTGGCCAGGGCTGTGTTTGACTTGTGCTGGCTCTGCCCCTGATCTGCCTCCTTCACAGTCTCAGCCAGTCCTATGGGGAAGCATTGTGATTGGCTCAGAACAACACTTCTGATGATGTCAGCAGTCAGTTTCACAGGCAAACAGGGGCAGAGGTAGCAGCTGCAGACTTGAATACAAGTAAGATTATACTATATTTAGGGAGGGCCAGAAGGGCTAGATAGTGACTTTAACACTATAGGGTCAGAAATATATGTTTGTGTTCCTGACACTATAGTGCTCCTTTAACTGTAGATCCAAGAGTGGGATAGAATTGTGCACATACTGGGGGGGGGGGGAGAAATAGATTCTACATTTGTGACCAGAACACTACTTGATAATACCTTCCACCAGCTAAACGCAGGGCAAGTGGAGAGTCTCACAATAAAGGGCATTAGACTTCCATATAGCACATCCTTGGCCATTACCGACCACACATTAATTAAACAAGATGCCCCTTGCAGTTCAAGAAGTTGAATTCAGCCGCTCTGGATGGAAGAGCTGATTATTTCCCACAATGCTGTATTCCTTTCTGTACGACAGCTGCAGGTGCCTATTAGACAAACTAGAATTTTCACAAAAGAATTACGAAGCAGAAAAATCCTAATCTCAAATGGATGTATTCACTTAAAGGGATACTCCAGGCACCCAGACCACCTCTGCCCATTGGAGTGGTCTGGGTGCCAACTCCCACTACCCTTAACCCTGCAACTGTAAATATTTCAGTATTCATAAACTGCAATAATTACCTTGCAGGGTTAACTCCTCCTCTAGTGGCTGTCTACTAGCCAGCCACTAGAAGGCACTTTCTGGTCTATACTTTCGCTGGACGTCCTCACACTATGTGAGGACCTCCAGTGTCGCTAAAATCCCCATAGGAAAGCATTGAAAGCATTTTCAATGCTTTCCTATGGGGAGGTCTCATCCCGCCAGTGGCTGCACATGCGCAATTGGTCTCGACTGCCGCCATCAGCCGTCAGAAGCAGTGGTGTCAGGTAAGTCACTGAAGGGGTTTTCAGCAACATGGGATGGAGGGTGGGAGGGAGAGGGGACCTGCAGCGCCAGGAAAACGATTTGTTTTTCTGGCACTGGAGTGTCCCTTTAACTACCGATTGTAGAGATTTGACATGTTTGAGAAATTTACATTTTAGACAGAATTAGATGAATTGAGAAATGTCTTATCTTTATTTCAATGTTAATGCCACATATATCAGTTAAGTGAAAAAACTCAGAATTCTGGACATGTAGACCATTTTTATTTCAGCTCACAGTCAGAATGGCTGGTAATATATGAACATGAAGTGCTTGGAATATAAAGGCTCTTTACTGGCGTGTAGGTCTACAGAACAAGCCATAGAATCGCAGGTAACCGTGTCAAAGTATAATGGATTGCAACCAACCACAATGTGATTCCAAAGGAAATGAAAAGGCTCTCTCCTAAATCCATCAGCTGACCGTGTGCAGGGAACCTCAGGGAAATTCTATTCGAGGTACCCCCAGGGCAATCAGTTTGATACGCTGATGGCATAGATGTTGCTGCAAAGGCTCAAGTGAGCTAAAACGGGCTTTAAACCTGAGCAAGGACTAATTTAACGGCAAGCTACTGTGTTTCTTTTTCTTTTCTAAATTTGCTTCAATTCTGTTTTGGTTTAAAGAGAGATCAGCTAATGAATCAGTTAGAGGGGATTAAGAGTCCTGCCAATGACGGAAGCATCTGGACGCGGTCTGTGTGTCTGAAAGCTTGGCTACCCGTGGGAATGTGCCCTGCATGTTCACTGGTCCAATCACACTACAGCCTAAACTGAAATATCATAAATGTCTGATGAGGATGCATCATTACAGCACAAGCCAAGTTCCTCCTTTCATACGATTATTCAGATAGTTATCAATAACAGAAAAGCAGGGATTAGAGAGCAGGAAGAGCGTGAAGCACCTGGTAACCAGACGTCTAGACCTCGTGAGTGGGACAAGATCCAGCGAGCGGAGGCTCCATCCATAGTATGTGGAGAGACAGAGATAAATGCCAACAGGCACCAATCACGAATAAATTCTAACTCCTTTAGCCCACGCAAATTCTTTAGGTTTTGAAAGAATACAAATGGTTAGAAATGTCAAATAAATCTGTAGGTAAAGTATAGATGTGAGAGCTTCTAATAAACCTCAAACTGGAAATCAAAGAGAGGTCACAATAGCGAGCCGCAGCACATTAACGGCAGCACTGGGGAGGTTATATCTTGTAGAGAAGCTAGTGAATCGAGAGTAAATGTTACATCTGAGATAATTGTTCTGTATAGCTAGAGCTCAATATCTCCACATAGTGCAAAGTGAAGACTAAACCAAACAGGACGAATGATCAGACCAAGTCAGCAATAACACACAGTGACTGCGCTAAGTGTGCACAGAGCCTGCCAGGTCATTATATCTGGTTATAGCGCCCGGCATACAGGTCATTATATCTGGTTATAGCGCCGGGCATACAGGGCATTATATCTGGTTATAGCGCCGGGCATACAGGGCATTATATCTGGTTATAGCGCCCGCATACAGAGCATTATATCTGGTTATAGCACCCGGCATACAGGTCATTATATCTGGTTATAGCGCCCGGCATACAGGGCATTATATCTGGTTATAGCGCCCGGCATACAGGGCATTATATCTGGCTATAGCGCCCGGCATACAGGTCATTATATCTGGTTATAGCGCCCGGCATACAGAGCATTATATCTGGTTATAGCGCCCGGCATACAGGTCATTATATCTGGTTATAGCGCCCGGCATACATTATATCTGGTTATAGCACCCAGCATACAGGACATTATATCTTGTTACAGCGCCCGGCATACAGAGCATTAAATCTGGTTATAGCACCTGGCATACAGGGCATTATATTCGTTTATAGCGCCCAGCATACAGGGCATTATATCTGCACACCCAGTGACTGTAGATCAGTCTGTGGCCAGCTGCACACACACACAGTGACTGTAGATCAGTCTGTGGCCAGCTGCGCACACACACACACAGTGACTGTATATCAGTCTGTGGCTGGCTGCGCGCGCAAACACACACACACACACACACACACACACAGTGACTGTAGATAAGTCTGTGGCCGGCTGCACACACACACAGTGACTGTAGATAAGTCTGTGGCTGGCTGCACACACACACAGTGACTGTAGATCAGTCTGTGGCCGGCTGCACACACACACAGTGACTGTAGATCAGTCTGTGGCTGGCTACACACACACACACAGCGACTGTAGATCAGTCTGTGGCCGGCTACACACACACACAGCGACTGTAGATCAGTCTGTGGCCGGCTGCACACACACACACAGCAGTGACTGTCAGATCAGTCTGTGGCCGGCTGCACACACACACACAGCGACTGTAGATCAGTCTGTGGCCGGCTGCACACACACAGTGACTGTAGATCAGTCTGTGGCCGGCTGCACACACACAGTGACTGTAGATCAGTCTGTGGCCGGCTGCACACACACAGTGACTGTAGATCAGTCTGTGGCCGGCTGCACAAACACAGTGACTGTAGATCAGTCTGTGGCCGGCTGCACACACACAGTGACTGTAGATCAGTCTGTGGCCGGCTGCGCACACACACACAGTGACTGTAGATCAGTCTGTGGCTGGCTGCACACACACACAGTGACTGTAGATCAGTCTGTGGCTGGCTGCACACACACACAGTGACTGTAGATCAGTCTGTGGCCGGCTGCACAAACATTGACTGTGGATTCCGCGATGGTCACTCTGTTGAAACAGCTGTGACCAAAGTATCCAACGATTTAATCGCTGCTAAATCTCACGGCCATTACTCTTTCCTAATTCTCCTTGATCTTTCTGCTGCCTTCTCATTCTCTAGAATCTCAGTCTACGGGATACTGCTCTTTCCTGGTGCTCCTCCTACCTCTCCCAGCGCTTTTTCAGTGTTTCTTTCTCTGGCTCTGCCTCTTCTCCCCAACTCCTCTCTGTCGGCATCCCCCAAGGTTCAGTCCTTGGTCCCCTACTGTTCACGATCTATACTGCCTCCCTTGGTAAACTCATTAGCTCCTTTGGCTTCCAGTATTATTTCTATACGGATGACACTCAAATCTACCTGTCCTCCCCTGATCTCTCTACACCCATTTTGACTCGTGTCTCTGACTGCCTATCCGTGATTTCCAACTGGATGGCTGCTCACGCCCTTAAACTCAACCTGTCCAAAACAGAATACTGGTCTTACCTCCCTTAAGTGTTGCTACTCCAGTGTGTCTCCCTCCAAGTCAACGGTGCCACCATCACCTCTACCTTGCAGCCTAGGTGTTCTCTTTGAATCCAACCTCTCCTTCATCCCTCATGTCCAATCAATCGCCAAATCCTGCCGCTTCCATCTCAAAAACATAGCTCACATCCGCCCCTATTTAACACCAGATGCAGCTATGGTGCTGGTCCATGCCGTTGTTCTTTCTCGCCTTGACTACTGCAATCCCCTTCTCAGTGGTCTTACGTGCTCCCAGACTGCACCACTGCAATCTATAATGAATGCGGCGGCAAGGCTCATTTTCCTGTCAGCCCGCACCTCTCACCTCTGTCAGTCCCTATATTGGCTTCCAGTTAGATATAGGGCTTAATTTAAGATTCTGGTGTTTGCTTACAAATCCCTCCATAATACTGCTCCAACCTACCTATCCTACCGAATACACAAGTATGTCCCGTCGAGGCCACTGTGCTCTGCTGAAGACCTACGTCTATCCTCTGTCCGTACTCCCACATCTGATGTTTGCCTCCAAGACTTCTCCAGGGCTGCACCTCCTCTGTGAAACTCCCTTACCTTCTCCATTAGACTTTCACCCAGTCTCCACTCCTTCAAAAAATCTTTGAAAACTCACTTCTTCAGGAAAGCATATAATCTAAATTGTTAGTTTAACTGTTAGCAACTGTCAAAAATAACCTACTAAGTTCCCAGTGAATACTTTTCTAGCAACGGAATTTGCTGGCGCTATATAAATAATAGATCAGTCTGTGGCCGGCTAGATCCTGAAACTCACCCTGCAGCCCTTTTGTTGCAAAGTGTATATCGATAGGGTGGGACCAGAAAGCCATCTCTTCATTCTGTGGATTATCCACCTGTGTCTGACCCTCCACAGCCCCAGACAGTAGCTTCCAGGCTCCTCCTAGTGCAAAACAAGGGATCAGAGAGACCTGATTAGGAAGCAGGATATGTCCCAAAAGATGTGCTATCAGGAGATATATAAATATACACACAGACACATGGGCTCCTTACCTGTGTGAATCCCCCACTTGCAGAAGAGGCTGTTCTGAGGAAATCCACTGGCGCCAACTATTTGCCCAATGATATGAAGCTCCGCCATGCTTGTAACAAAAACACAGGAGAATAGAGAATTTACACATTATAAGCGGATCATAACCTGACAGAGCATAGCTCCATTCCAGTTTATCACCGCACGGAGCTGTGTACCCTTCATTACCCCCCCCATGCACAGAGCTGTGTACCCCTCATTACCCACCCATGCACAGAGCTGTGTACCCCTCATTACCCCCCCGCACAGAGCTGTGTACCCCTCATTACCCCCCCGCACAGAGCTGTGTACCCCTCATTACCCCCCATGCACAGAGCTGTGTACCCCTCATTACCCCCCCATGCACCAGGCTGTGTACCTCGTACCCCATGCACAGGCTGTGTACCCTCATTACCCCCATGCAGGCTGTGCCCTCATTACCCCCCGCACAGGCTGTGTGCCCCCCGGCACTGGGGGCTGTGCCCTCGATACCCCCGCACAGGCTATTGTGCCTCATTACCCCCCCCGCACAGAGCTGTGTACCCTCGATACCCCCATGCGACTGTGTACCCTCATTACCCCCCATGCAGAGCTGTGGCGCACATTACCCGCACAGGGGCTGTAGCGCTACGGCACAGAGCTGTGTACCCCTCATTACCCCCCCCGCACAGAGCTGTGTACCCCTCATTACCCCCCCGCACAGAGCTGTGTACCGGGGGGCTTTACGTTTAGCTTTACCTTCAGCAATTCCCACTTCCGGTGCAATCGTCTGGTTGCTACGCAACATCAACAGGAAGCCTGGGCGGAGTAAAAGGAAGTGACGTAGTAAGGGCGATGAAGCCGGCAGATACATACTGACTGAGGGCAGACTGCTGTGTGTGTACATGGCACAGTCACCAAACATATCTGTAACCATGGAGCTGGCCATTATACAATCTTACAATTACTGGAAATTGATTATTCACAATCTGCTAACATCAATATCTGGCCATTATACAATCTTACAATTATTGGAAATTGATTATTCACCAAACATCTTTTCATCCAGTAACCAATAAAACCGCCAGCAACATAGATTTAGCAGCTACACTTATCTGGGAAACCTGGCAATGTTATAATTAAAGGCCCACTATAGGCACCCAGATCACTTCAGCTCAATGAAGTGGTCTGGGTGCCAGGTCCCCCGGGCTTTAACCCTTCAGATGTAAACCTAGCCGTTTCAGAGAAACGGCTATCTTTACATAGCAGGGTTAATCCAGCCACTAGTGGTTGTCTCCCTGACAGCCGCTAGAGGCCGCTTCCGCGATTCTCAGTGAGTAAATCAGACTTATTTGAAGCTTTATTTATTTGAAGCAAAAGGATTGACTCACCACGACCGGCGGTTCCCCCGGGAAACAGGAATTAGCCGCGAGTAATTACACGCGGGAGGCGGAGTTGCGGTCAAGCAGGCTCCCTCTGTCGGTTGACTGGCTGGCTAAATCTAGATTACAGCCCTAAACGCTGCCTGCTTCATTAGCAACGGCAGAAGGGTGATCCACTTAGGCAAACAAGGCAATTTGCGGGCATCAGAGTGAGTGAGTCCTACACTGGTAAAGACTATTAACATTGCTTTTTCTGGGTATTAGGACGTAATTACAATTCCCCAGGTCACCCCTGGTTCTTTTCACATCTGATTCTGTGTCTGGTTATGATTGGTCAATAGTATCACAGGTTCACCTCTGATTTTATGTTATGGTGTTGCATTGCCAGCATCTACGCTTTGGATTCACAACTCACATATCCCACATAGGGTTAACAGGTCAGGTGCAGCATTGGGCCACCTGACGGCCAGGAAGCACATAACCTCTGTTGTACAAATACAGTAACCTTGGCATGTCATTACAATTCATAGAAACATAGAATGTGACGGCAGATAAGAACCATTCGGCCCATCTAGTCTGCCCAATTTTCTAAATACCTTATCTTATAGTTAGGATAGCTTTATGCCTATCCCACACATGCTTAAACTCCTGCACGTACCAATGGAAGGACACACAATACTTGTAATGGCACCCCCAGGTATAAAAAGGGGTTAAAAGCCGTTTAGTAGATCTTCCCCTTCCAGAGACACAGGCAGCTACTGTAGACACCAATCCACCGAACCGGAGAGGCATATGAATGCTCTCAAACATATGAATACTGTAAACAGCCGAATAGGAAAAACCATACGAATAGGTTTACACTCCTAGCAGTCGAACTGGAACAGCATACAATAAATCCCCCCTACCTGCCAAGAACGAGACAAGGCTTCGTGTTGAGGGTCAAACAGGAACAGACAGAGCTGTGGGTTTATTGTTCTTATGTACACATTCTTACACATTAGTACCACCCACAGGGTTTTGGAAAACAACCAATAAACATGTACAATACACTCAGACACTCCCACACAAAATCCTCCCCTCTGCCTGTGATACAATTACCTTACACAATGGGTAATGTAATTATCACAGCCAGAGAAATACAATTTTTCCACATTATTAATAACTTGAAAAGTATGCATCACATTCACATAAAACTTACATTTTCAGAATCAGCATACTCCAAATACAAACGTATGTCCAAATCATCCAAATTGGTCCATAGGTTCAAAAGATAGATTGAAGTCCTTTGTGACCAAATGAAGCATGGCTTTTCTTCCCAAAACCAGTTCCACAGAGTATTCTATCCTGGAGATAATTGGGAAGTAATCCATTTATCTCCAAGGACAGAGGCAAAACTCCATTGAACACATGGCAGCAAAAGACAATAAAACACATAAAAACATATAACTGTGCAGCCATTGCACAAAACAGGTACATTCAACATATCATTAGATAGCTCAGATCTGAGCGCACATTATTACTGAATGGCGCTCAGAGCACACACACACAGTTCAATTGCCATGGAGCCAAAGTCTTTCCCATAGTTTTTCATTATACGAATGGGCTCCATGGCATAGCTATCTGGGGTATCACCGCTCAAACAGGGCAAGCACCGAATGACTCGGCTTTCGTGTCTTTGCAGGAGAAAATCAAGCGTTTCAACATGGGGCCATAGTCTAAAGGCAGCAGGCGGGCAACCAGGCTCCTCCAATGCACAGTGGCGAGATTGGTCTCTGAATCATGAAAGCAGATCCAGAGATTTGAATCACAAATTCCGAGTTAACACGTGCTGCTTCATGTACCCCCCTGTATTAGCATTGAACTAGTGCTGATACCAAATGCACGTACCAATTGTAAGTTACAATGAGACGTTTCTCAGACATAATACGGCATGCAGGGCACTAGCATATTAAGGTACGCTGGGTACAACGGCACTAAGCACACATTTACTATACTAACATAGCTGATTCCATACCGGTGTTACAGATGTAACACACCAAGCTCACACAGACTTGGCTCAGCAGAACCTACACTATATGTTACATACCAGAATAATTTCTTACGTCATCCAAAGGTATAGGCCTTCCCCCTTAGCAGAATCTCAGACTACCGCAGATCAACAAACATACAGATACGTCGCTCCCGGCTCCTTAAAACACTGATTTAGTATAAAGGTTCATTCCATAGAGATGCATCGGTATGGCCACCTAGGTATTTCTTCCAGGCACCATATGCCTTAGAGACAGAGGTCCTGCGAGGCCAACACCCATCCTCCACGAAAGAGGTAACAACGCCCCGCGAGCCAAAATCATAGCTAGACGCCTCGCATGTTGCATAGCAAGGGAATCACCCGTCACCCCCCCTCCGCAGAACAAAGACTCATCCCTTGTAAGCCCACAACCAGCAGATCAACCCCTTGCGCCAACCATAGGTAGAACCGACCCAGCCACTTGGCAACCAGTAGGGACTCGCCGGTCACCAGTCTAACGAATTGTTTCGCAACTTCAGCACTAGTTAAAACATCTGTATACACCCTCAAGAGGAACTCATGATTCCTACATATATATATATATATTTCAATATGTCCCAAGTTCCAGAAGAAGGAGATGATATTTCTATTCCAAGTAATCCAACTAGGACTGCCTCCCCTTCAAAAAAAAAAAAGGGAGACTCTGGCAGTCCATCTTCTATTAGATCGTGGACCATCCAATGAATCAAGGCCGATTTACTCAGGGAAACATACCCTTTTCAGCTACTGCCCGCAAAGCAGAACTATCCAGGTATAGGCAAAAATATCAGACATGAGGGAAAGCAAGTGGCACGAGCAATGCCAATATGTATACCAGGATCACCTCTATAGTAATATCCAGGAGGCAGATGAACGATAGACTAAAAAGACTGGAAGCCCGTAGCTGTCCAGTCGTGACACCAGTAACCACTCGCAACTGATATTCCGTGCCCTCCCCATTTCCAACCCGGTAATTCTAACACGCCCATCATCTTAGGGCCTCGAGTTATTAGCCCAACCATATGGTACCGGCAAACCTCAAAAGACATCCTGAAGAGCAAGGACGTTAATCTAGTCTTGCTTCTCATTGCCGTCCAGGATGTCACAGAGTACCACTCATACAAGTCATGGCATCTCAGCACATCTATCATGTTCCCAGTATAGACCCTACAACGATCATGTTACCCTGAAAGTTACTGTACAATATCAGTATGACCATATTTCAATTATGGCTACGCCGTCATAGCCTGTAACTTTCAACAGATCTACAACTTAAAATAAACCACCAACCCCACCCCATTAAATTCCACTTACGTTACCTCCCAGTACCACAGGAACTATATTGGGCCACTCTCAACCTCTTATGCATAGTCCTCACACAAGCCATCTATGGGCCTTTGCAACATAATTCACGTAACCTTAGTGGACAACTAAGTCTTATTTGCAACCCCTCATTTGGGCATTAAGCTCACATATCAGCTGGATAGGAATGTATGCGTAAAGTGCTACTATCTCACAGCTTTCTACCTGTAAATCAACCACGTCTTATAGTATCATACTTCTGCTATATCTTGCACTGTCCACATACGACCACACAGTAGCTCTCCTCACGACCATACGTACAGGGCCTACTCCTGGCCAAACGCACAGAATGATAATTCCTTCATAACAGAAGTTCTACTTACCTCTCAGTGTACTACTTCAGTCTAGCATATTGTCAATTTACGACGCGCGCAACATGCCACATACATTATGTTATGTACTGAATTTATCATGTGGGTCATTTAAGTTCCCCTGGGTCGACCTTACTAGTCAGCCGCCATTGGGCTTACATAGTCAATTCCATACTGGACTATTCCCACATCACCACTGCGTATTAGACCAGTTCATATACATCATATTATACCGTCCTTCCAGCTTTCCTGGCTATTTGACGACTCGGGCAACCATGGTACAAGTTAACACATTAGCCTTGCATGTGCAAAGCCTAATGTACAGCCTTACCCAGCATCTAGGCTGTTAAGTAATTCCAGCTTACAGGGGCAACCATGACCTTATCATACCACGGCCAATTTTATTCATAAACCACACTATTAATACACTACATACGACCACCAAAGGGCTATCCATTATAGCATAATGGCAGTCCCTCATTTGGGCTATTACATACGGCATAGGAATTACTGTTTTGACATAAGTTTGCAAATTTTGTCACAACCTACCACAGCATGCCTCTACACGTGGCCCTCACTAGGCCATCATGTTACATACGACCCACCATGAGCAATCCACTACGACGCAATTTCATCCCACAGGTGAGCAATTACATACGACCAAGGTCAAGTTAGACCACTCAAATCCTCCTTATTCTGGTCCTTTCTCTGCATTTACAACTCCAGTCACAGACACTTACGTGATCTCCAATATTAGTTCCCGCTGGTAAACCAGAATGTCCCACATACTTCATACATATTTCAGGTTCTTCTAGCGAAAGGACACCCAGCGGGAACTCGCCTAGGGACAATATACTTAGGTGTCTCTTCCCTGTAAATATATATGTCGTTAACTAGGGTCATTTACATAAGTAGTCACCCCGAGGCAGCGGCTTGTATAGGGCTTTCTGCAATCTCAGGGGACAGTGGGTTATGGGGTAAATGGCCGAAAGAAGTAAGCCAGATCGAAGGGTTCCTTAAGAACTCTGCATGCTTCAAGGTATATTCCATCGTAGCTGCAGCAGCAACATGGGGTCATTCATGAGCAAGCAGACCGGTTCGAGGCCGCTGACAATTTGTCAATTGGCCACATCATAAACAAATCCGGTCTTGTATCCCTTAGTATGTATTCATCAGATGACTAACGTAGGGGAAGCCTGTCACCAATTTTTATCTGGTATGTTACCACGTAC